AATAATAAAAACCCAGAGACAGATATTGGGGTAGAAGCTGAAGATCAGAAAAGTAAAGCAGCCACGCCAGTACCTCTTACCTCTACCAAGGGCTGGGGAGATCCTGTCGTCACCATGGCTGGAGACTAAATCTCACAATGCCACCTGAGACACTGGGCCTGTCTTTCATATACCTCTCTCTAGTGCTGGGATAAAAGGCATGAACTATGTTTTTCTTTTAGACTGATTCACTCTCTGTGTATCTCTGGGTGGCCTTGAGCTCCAAGAGATCCATCTGCTTCTGTCTCCCGAGTCCTGGGATTAAAGGTGTGTGCCACCACTGCCCAGCTTTTATAGCTGTGGCTAGCTCTGCATTCTGATCCTTCAAGCAAGCTTTACTAGGTCATAAATAATACATCACCACAGAAGCCGACCTGTCCTCCCTTTGTGCCATCAGCTGATATTCTTTCCCTTAGGTCAAATCTTCCACTGAGTGTCACCAGGGAGGATCAGCTTTCTAAGGCTTCTACTTACTCCTCCTACCTCGAGTGTGTTCACAGCTGTGTGTTTGTATGACTCTAAAATCTGAAGCACCATGGCCAGAACAAGAGGAAAACAAGAGAACATGAATTCACAAGTGTCCTGGTCATCGATTGGGGGTGGTGGAGGGGTGTCTTCTTTCTGGAACACTTAAGAGAACAGCTACTATATTTCAGATATTCCTAGGAGTGGCAGAAGGTGAGGACTCACCATCTCTAGTTTACTATATTGCTGGAGGTGATGTTGTAAAATGAAGTCGCTGCTGCAAAATGAAAACAGTACGTGCCTATTAGATACACGGAATCTGCACGCCTCTGTTTCCCCGAGGGTGTGACTTCTGGATTTAATCCGCTAAGAAAGCCAGCATGTGAACTCCAGAGGAGGCGGAAAGAGGTGGGACTGGGTCTGCCCTGCTCACCGCCACACTTCCGCTATGCTCTGTACACGTTAGCTCTGCCGTCTACCTTCCTGATGAGAAGTTTATGAACTGGTGGCAACGCTGTGATGTTTACATCACGTGTCATCCCATGATGCAGTTACGAAACTGCTGCAGGGGGCTTTAGCTTGGATGTGGGATGTCAGCCCACAGGTTCATGCGCTGGGGAATTGGTCCAGGAGAGTGTTAAGATGGAACTTTTGCCAGGCGGTGGTGGCGCACACCTTTAATCCCAGCACTCGGGAGGCAGAGACAGGCGGATCTCTGTGCGTTCGAGACCAGCCTGGTCTACAAAGAGCTAGTTCCAGGACAGCCTCCAAAGCCATAGAGAATCCCTGTTTCGAAACCCCCCCCCCAAAAAGATGGAACTTTTAAGGCGGTGGCACACGCCTTTGATCTCCGCACTCAGGAGGCAGAGGCAGGGATCTGAGTTTGAAGCCAGCCTGATCTACAGAGCGAGTTCCAAGAACCCTGCCTCACAGAACCACAACAAAGAGAAAGTGGGACTGATTCCATGGTCCTCAGATCACTAGGGCCCCTTACAGTGACATTAGGTGGCTCTGGACAAAACTTCAGAAGTCAAGTGCCAGTCTGGTCCCTCAGAGTTCACCCTGCCTCCGGTTTCAGGGCAAAGACATGTTTCCTCCCACAGGGCTTCAACAGCTCCTGTGAGCAACCTTGACTAAACCAATCTCTTCACGAGTAGCTAGCCTGCTTCAGGAATTCCACTGTAGTGACAATAAGCTAGGTGAGACATGGAACTACCCTTTTTTTATATGCAAGGAACAAATTTACCCCCCATGAACAGATGACCTCACATCTTGAACATAAAGGCCTAGAATGCCACTACACACCTACCATGCCACAAACAGCCTTTGCAACAAAGAACTATCCAGTCCAAAGATGTCAGTATCTCTGTTCCTGAGACCCCAGCTAGAGGCCCAGGGCTGCCTGCTGCTGCTGCTGTCCTGTGTATTGCTACAGTGAAGTCATGTTTTCTCTTTCCCTCACTGGGAATGTTAATGCTCACTCCCATTTTTCTTCTTTGTATATCACCAGTCTTCATGTCATCCAAAAGACTAGACCCAGAAAACATCATGAACAGCCTCAGGCCATTAAAGTAGTGTAGGACCTTCCACGCAGCAAGCAGTCTGGGAGACCAGATGTGCAGGACCTCCCCCACTCCTCCTTCCCCTGACCCTACAACTAGTGAGGTCCTGCCTGCCTGTGGCTAGGCAACACGGTTGTATTTCCTCATCTCCAGTGACATGACCAAACCTGACGGCAGCTAAATTAACATATGTGCACCTCCAACTTCTGCTTCTGCTTCCTCCTTCCCTCCTGGGGACTTTGCCAGGTCAGCTGCTCACACCTCAGCTGGTAAACACAACATGGTTTGGGTCAACAATGTAAAAGCTCGCCTTAGCCGTCCATCACCAGGCTGATCAAGAAAGTGGCCAGCTGATGTTTTGATTTTCATCTCATTGTTTAAAGGACAACATTGATACACTAAACAGTACAATTTGCAGAGGAAAAGAGAAAACACTGAAAGTAACAATATAGAAACATTCTAATTGCAGTAATGGAAGCAATGACTGCCAATTAGTCCATTATCAAAAGATAGGTTTTAAAAGCCAGTGACGACACAGAGAGGGGGAGAGACTCTTCTCTCCTTAGTAACATCAATAATACTTCCCCAGACTTGCCGTAGAAAGCACAGTCTCTCAAATTAACCTAGTTGGGGTTGAAGCATTTACTATGACCTTATTTTCATAGAGTCTGAATGTATCACTTCAAAGTTACTATATCATTTACCTTAAAACAGTCATAGTTGTTTTAGCTTAAAGAACTGAATAATCTTGCATTAAAAAGTTATTTCACCCAGAAAAGACTCTGGCGTCAGACTGCCTGGGTTCATAACCCAATTCCCACTTGGGATTTTGGTCAGTTCATTCTTTGCATGTCTCTGTATTCAACTACAGATTGTAATAACAGTGCTCACCTCCAAGAATTGTTAGAAAAGATAAAACCTATAAAGAAAAAAAAGGTAATGCACACGACACACAGTCAACATGAGTTTCTCAAATAAATAAAAATGACTTATTATGTTGAAAAAGTAAACAACCACTTTTTGTTGTTCTGATTTTAAACCAAAGGCCATATTTTCTCATTCTCCCAGGCACAGGGCCCACATGTTTCTCTCTCTCAACTAAATAAATTTACTGAGTGCAGCCAAAGTCACCCTTCTGATCCAGGATTTGTAACTGAGGTATTATGCTTGATACTCTCTCCCTCTCCTTCTCCCTCCCCCCCCCACACACATTAGCCTAACAGAAATATCAATTTCCAAAATGTCCAGAGGGAAAGAGAAAAACAGAAAACTAGGAAGATGTCATGAGTACTATTTACAAACAAGGATGATGTTCAAATCATTATTGGCAAAATGGATCAGTCATGGAAAACATGAAGTCTAGCCAGCAGTTAGGGACAGTGGCTTACACCCCTACTTCCAGCATTTTGGAGGTAAGACAAGTGAAGTTTGCAAGCAACCAATTTTTGTGAGACACGTTCTTATAAAACAAAACCAAGCAAAACCAGTCCTAGCAGTAGGAAAATGCCTATGATTCAAATTTAAAATCCATGTGCCAGTAAACGTAGCTTCCAACATGAGAATTTTTGATGGGAAGGCAACCAAAGCAAAAGAAACACAATGAAAACACAGCCACAGCTCAGAGAGCCGAGAGTTCCAAAACGAGTGTGAGATCTTTGCTTTTCTTAAATAAACAGCAATCCAGACCTTTGTAAAGGCTGTATTTCATAAGAACTGTTGCCACAGCTTCAAACTCAAAAGTCGTCAAGTGTCTCAATGTCAAACAAGGCTTTCTTTTTACGGGGAAGGCAGGCAGACTGGCCGGAATTCTGAGCGGGAGAGTGACAAACAGCAGGCTACACAGAAGCCGTGACCAGACCTCGGCGCCAGTTCTTCAGATGCTTGTTCAGACTCGGGCAAAGTAAAGTGCAGGGGTTACGAGGAAGGGGAAGGCCAGACTAACATGTGCACAAATCAAGGCACCACATAAACAATGGGCAACCATGAACAATCAGTCCTTTCACGAGGGCAGGAGTCTGGTTTCGGTTGAACAATCAGATAGAGTAGCTAAGAGTTAAACCTTCTGCAGGCTAGGTAAATACCTAACACAATATTAGTTAATAAGGTATTTCTGTTGTGGCCCTGAGCACTAATCCTTGATTTCCAGGCACAAGGCTGTGAAACTTGTGTCCTGCAATCCACTGTCAGCCCAGCCAAAGAATTTGCAAACTGAGACTCTCACCCGAGTTCCCCTTAAAAAACTGACTTATCTCCAAGAGGCAACCAACAACTAGAATACGTACAAAGAAAAGGGCGAATAACAACACAGGAATATGGGATTGACTTTCACAAGAATAAATTCCAAATGCTGGAATGAGAACATCTGGGAATGAACAAGAGCTTCATGAAGTTGTTTTGTTTTGTTTTTAAATGTTCTATCAAAAAAAACTCAGCACACTCATTTCACTGACATTGGCTTGGAAATTCTGCCACACACACTTTCTGGTCACATGAAACAAAGAAAGAAACAGTTCAAGACAGGCACAACAGTTAAAAAACATACTACAAAAAACCAAGTAGAATACTAGTTACTAATGTAATAAACAGCCTGACAGAGTTTAGATTCTAATTGTGCTGTTTTGATGTTGTTACCGGAACAGACCACTCCTACCAATTTAAAAGTTCTGTAATCATTTCACAGATTGAAAATCAAAGCTGGGTCAGGCTATGGTGACGCACACTTTAATCCCAGCACTTAAGAGGCAGACAGGTGGATCTCTGAGTTTAAGGCCAGCCTGGTCTGTAGGAGTTCCAGGACGGCCAGGTCTACACAGAGAAACCAAGTGTGGAAAAAAAAAAAAAAACCAAAGCTGAGAAAGACCAAAGCAGTGAGTGAGTTTAAGACCTTCTAAAAACTTAATTTGGTACTTTTCTACTTGAGATGTGATCACTTACCTGTCAGGGATATATTATGGCTCTCCAATGAAAGGTTTGAGTACTTCGCCATCATTTCTTCTCGAACGGGTAGACTTGTAAAAGATGCATCTGTAAGACAAATTGCATGTGGTTACATTTCAGATATCCTCACTAAGACTGGACTGGATGGTTATTTCAAAACCAGCTTGGAACTGGCCGGCTAAGTGTGTGTGTGTGTGTGTGTGTGTGTGTGTGTGTGTATGTGTGAGAGAGAGAGAGAGAAAGAGCGGGGGGGGAGGGAGAGAGAGAGGGAGAGGGAGGGAGGGAGAGAGAGAGAGAGAGAGAGAGAGAGAGAGAGATCACACACAGAGGACAGAGGGTCTGGTCAACATTCTTTTCCTAATGAAAATTATTTATTTCCACTCTTGGACGTAAGTCATACAGAGATATATTAAAGAAATACAGTTAAGTCTGAGGCAGATGCCACTCAGTGCTAGTTAGGATGAAAAAAGTGGATAGGAAAGAGCTATTGTGACTGTCATCTGGTCTTGAACATGACACAGCACACACCGTCTTATTTGGAAGCCTTCCCTTCCCGGCCTAGCTGACTACTGTGACATTTCTCATCGCACACATCTATTCTCAGATGGCCAAACATCACTCATTCTGGTGGTGGTGATTATCATTCACACTATCAGTCGTAGGAGAGTGACAACAGCTAAAATAAAGTACCCGACTTAAAAGTACCTGGTATACAGTGTTGCTGGCAAGGAGTAGGAAGTGGGCTAAACTGAATCCTAAAATCCAATGGATGGTATAGTAACTGTTTGGGCCACAATTGATTCAGTCAGAGAAGCATTCATTGCTGGCATTAGTGTTATGAGCCTGTGTCTTTCACAAGTCAGCACAGGATCTACAGAGGGTAAGCCTGACTTTGGGAATGGCATGAAGATAAAGAGCACTGTAGAAGATCAGGGCTAGGACGGTTTTCCTTTCCTCACCTCCAGGGATCAACTAAGGAAGAACCTATCGGGATCCACCCTAGAACAAAGACAGGAAGGGGGTCCAAAGGCTGGAATTCAACAAAATCTCAGCTCACAGCAGCAGAAAGAATACAAGGAGAAACAAGAGGCAAGAGAAACCAGAGAATGCCAGAATATACCAGCTGTTTTGGCTACTTCTAACTAATAATTCACATACTAAAAGATAAACTCAGAGATCTGTAAACTTGACACTAGCTGAGATGCCACATCTTCGATACAGCATCGATCTTTTTATTTTATTGTTTTATTCTGAATTTTGAAGACAGGGTTTCCCCCATGGAGTCCTAGCTGACCTGGAACTCAACTGTAGATCAGGCTGGCCTTGAACTCACAGAGATCCTACTGCCTCTGCCTCCTGAGTGCTGGGATTAAAGGCTGTGCCACCACCACCAAGCTAAAGCATCAATCTTTATCAGGCTCTACTTTCCACTGAACATGCAAAAGAATTCCTTTAAGCAGCATGAACAAATGCTATGAGTATAAAAGCAGATGAGATGGGAGAATAGTAAAGGTGAATTTTGTTTGGACAAGATATTCTATAATCGCCGGGCGTTGGTGGCGCACGCCTTTAATCCCAGCACTCGGGAGGCAGAGGCAGGTGGATCTCTGTGAGTTCGAGGCCAGCCTGGTCTACAGAGTGAGTTCCAGGACAGCCTCCAAAGCCATAGAGAAACCCTGTCTCGAAAAACCAAAAAAAAAAAAAAAAAAAAAAAAAAGGATATTCTATAATCAAAAAATGTGAGACCAAACCGTACTGTTTCACAGTTGGCAGTGAGGGGCTGATGACTTAGCAAGCAAGCTTATGCAAAAGAAACTGACAGGGGAAGGCTCGGACTAACATGGTTCAGAAAAGGCCTTGGAAGGATTAGCCTGAATCACAAAAAGAAATACAAAATGAAGAGGTAGGAACCGTTTGTCCCAAGCCAAGTTGGGCCAGTGGCTTGTGACCTGAAGTATCACAATTTGTAATAGCTCAGTTCTTTGATGACAATGTCTCCACCATAAATCTCAGTTATTCGAGAAGGGGGGGGTAGGAGGATTGGGAAGTCACAAAAATACTGAGTGACAGTGCCAAGTTCAAAACATGCATTCTTCAAGGTATTACAATCACCCTTTTCTTAATCATTTCTGGACATTTTCCACCTGGCTTACAAAACACCAGCATAAAACAACAAGAACTAGTGGTTGTGCAAAGATTAAAGGATTTTTCTTCCTCCCTCTGAGGGGAGATGGTGCATGGAAATACTGCAGAGAACTGAGTGTTAGCCTAATTTTCAACCTATTGTTACTTGATGTGAAAAATGGTTTTCATTACATTTTCGAACATCTTCCTAGAGGAGCTTATAATTTATGGTGTACCACCATCAAATGAAACAAATGTTATAGTGTCTTCTACTGTTTCACATACTTAATTCTGTGCTTGATTTAAAAGAAGCAAACTGGAAAGGGTGTTAAGAAAGAAGAAATGCTAGAAAATGGGGCGGGGCTGGGCATTGGTGGCGCACGCCTTTAATCCCAAACCCTTGGGAGGCAGAGGCAGGCGGATCTCTGAGTTTGAGACCAGCCTGGCCTACACAGCAAGTACCAGGATAGGCTCCAAAGCTACACAGAGAAACTCTGTCACCTCTGTCTCGAAAAAAAAAACAAAAAACAAAAAAAAAGGGGGCGGAGTCTTAAAATTGCTTTTATGTATGTAAAGAAATAGTCAAGTGCCTCTCCTATAAGAATAAGTACTTCCTCTAAGCTAGACCCGCCAGTGCAGGCCTGTAATCTTTGTGGTTACTCACAAGGCTGAGGCAGGAGGATTGCAAATTCAAGGCCTGTCTGGTCTGGGCAACTCAATGAGATACTGCCTCATAATGACAGATGAGAAGAGGGCTGAGACACATGTGAGCAGTGGACCACTTTCTATGCATGTATAAAACCCTGGGTTTAACCCCAGTACTCAAAAAATAATTAAACAATACACTCTCCAATGTCTCTCTATTGCATCTTCTCTAGATTTTTTTTAAAAAGTTTATTTGGATGTATGTGTGCATGTGTGACTGTGTGCCACATGCCTGCAGGAGCCTGTGGAGGCCAGAAGGGGGCATCAGGCCCCATTGAGTGTATAGGTGGTCATGAGCAGCCAGGTTGGTGCTGGGAACAAAGCCAGTCCCTCTGCAAGAACCTTACACCTCTCTTAACTGCAGAGCCGGTTTCTCTAGGTCCTCACTGTATTTTAACATTTTGCATTTAATACTTTTTGTTTAAAGTGGAATAACTCAGTGGTAGAGCAATTGTCTAGCATGCACGTGACTACAAAAAATGTTCTAAGTTATTATTAAAATAAATACATTATTATGCCTCATCTGTATACTTACTACTATCAATACACATACTTAATATTATTTTCATAAATCTTCATTTTAGCATTCTGACACACAATATAAGATTATTATAAGAACGATTATAAGAACACTACAATTTAGGAACAGGTAAGATATACTAATGGCAAATCCTAAGAGTGAAAATCAGTGTATTTCTTCATGGGGGTATACAGCCACAGGACTGCAATATTATGGCTTACCTATAGCTTTAAGACATCTTATTGCCAGGTAAAATCCTGCTCATGAACAATGCATATAGAGTTACATTTCTAGGATCTAGGCATCTAGTATTCCTATTCCCTTTTATAATTGTAGTAGAAGGGAAAGAAGCAGGGTGGCGTGCCATGGTGTGTCAGGATGCTTGGAACTGTGGACATATTCCAGAGTTTGTGAAGAAAATAAAGAGCTGCCAAGAAAATGTACATGAGTTGCCCTGATGGAATCATGGAGAAGTCAACCTCTAAGAGTCAAGACAAAGAACATTCCAGGCAGGTAACTAGCATATTTCAGATAGTATGAGAATTACTGGACAGGAAGGCCATTTATCATTGAGTTTTAAAAAATAAAACTAATGACAAACACTGTGTACTTTTACATGACCTCCTAAAAGCATCCCATAATAACAACCCCCACAACCAAGCATTATTCAGACCAAAAAGTAAATGACATAAAGACTAAGAAAGGCCGGGCGTTGGTGGCGCACACCTTTAATCCCAGCACTTGGGAGGCAGAGGCAGGTGGATCTCTGAGTTTGAGACCAGCCTGGTCTACCAAGTGAGTTCCAGGACACCATCAAAAAAAAAAAAAAAAAAAAAAAAAAAAGACAATACAGAGAAACCCTGCCTCGAAAAACAACAACAACAAAAAAGATTCAGTATGGCTGCTTTTTGTAATCTACAAACATCCCTATAGCCCCGTGGTTCTGTTCTACAGTTTACACACGAATATTTCAAAGCACAGCCATTAGGCCAGCATTCAATGGTGACAAACAGCCCCCTTCTCTGGGTCTACTCTGAGGATGGTTTTAGCAAGAAAACTCATTGCTGGGTGGATCACTGAAGTGTGAAAGAAGAAACCAGCTATGGCTTGCTCCTTGTCCCTAGATATGACAAAGGTACTGTGAGTGTTAAATTAAATCAAAATTCCCTTTCAGGTCCTTACCTTGTGTGACTGAAAGGCCAAAATAGATTTTATCTTGGCCTGGATGTGATGGTACACGCCTGTAATCTCAGCACTTGGGCAGGGATTGCAAGGGGATGAAAAATTCAAATTCATCCTTGGCTACACAGTGGGTCTAAAACCAACTACACATGTATAAAACCCTCTCTCAAAACAAAAACAAAAAAAAAAAAAAAACAGAAGACTCTGGGGATTAGAAGAGATACTTTAGTTATGCTAACCTCAATAACTTTAAAAACAGGAAAAAATGGATCCAATAAAACAGAACCATCTTTAAAGTTAATGTCTCTCGTTCCTATAATAATATTAAGGAGATATTGTTACATCTGAATGATGATGGTACCTTGAGAAATTTATTTTTAACAAAATATTGCAAAGGATCCTTTTCTTTCCCCTATGTAAGTGTATGTGTGCTAAGTTATTTAGTCACAAGGTTATCCTTTTTTATTGCAAAATAGAAGCCAGCAGCACAAGAAAAAAAGCCTTGGCACACATCTGACTATTTCTGTTTAGGGACATGTTCTTTAGAAAAGCAAGCACACCAGTGGCTCAAAAACACCTGTAGCTCAGGTTCCAAGGAATACAACACACCCTCCTGGCCTCCACCAGCACCTAATGGTACATATAAACCCACACAGGCACACACACACACCCAAATTTCAAAACGGAACCAAAAACACTGGTGACCAGTTCCCAGCTACTGTTTTAATGGAGCCTGTGGTCAATGAAGCTTTCTCTGAAAAAGCTGAGCTGTTTTTCTTCAGACAATCTCAGGTTCATATGAAATGTCAAAACCTGGCATTTCCCCCTCTCCCCGATCTATGTGAACAGTACAGGGCTGATGTGATAAAAACAAGCCTCTCTAAGGCGTTACTGAGTTTTTTCTGCAATGGAGATATCCCACATCATCCCAGGCTGCACTAAACAGGGAGGCTGCCATGTCTGCATGGCCAGCTCATGCCACACCCCTGATGATGATGATGATGCTATGTAGCCTAGGCTGGCCTTGTGTTCATGATCCTCTTGCATCAATCTTCTGAGGACTGTATTGATGTATTATAGCTAAATGATACAGAAATTCATGAGTACAGACTGATAAAAATTAAATTAGTGCTCTGTTTCAATTTATCGTCATCTACTACTATTATTTATTCAGATGCTCAGTTTTTTCCCAGATGTGTTCTGTGTGAACCCCTTAAACTGGCTCAACATTCTTAGAGTGTTTTCTGGTGGAGGATATCCCTGACTTACACACCTCTCCACTCATTGGAGAAATCTGCCATTTCTCCGGTATCAATAAAAAGAACAGTCCTGGAAGCCAACATCTAGGCGTTAAGTATACTTGTACTGCTTGGAAATCAGTGGACAGAGCTACCAATATGTGTATGCAAACTCAAACACACACACACTCCATACTTGTAACATGAAACACACACATATATAATATGCACATTATATATAGAATACATATATTTGTACATAACGACATGAAGAGACATTTACAGTCATGAATTCACACTGATAACATCACAAAGGTTTCTCCCTGCCCTCCCCCTACCTTTATTTTCTTCTTCCCTAATGGAAAACCTGCATCCTGCTTTTCTTGATAGGTTTCCTTATTTGATCAATCCCTGTGTATACAACTAACATCGCACTGCAGCTGCCACATCTGGTCACCCCCCCCGTCACCCCCCCCAAGCCAGGGCGTTGGTGGCGCACGCCTTTAATCCCAGCACTTGGGAAGCAGAGGCAAGCAGATCTCTGTGAGTTCGAGACCAGCCTAGTCTCAGGAGTCCCAGGACAGGCTCCAAAACAATACAGAGAAACAAGAAGTTAAGATACCAGGTCCAAGTTGCATCACTGAAAATGTCTCAAAAGTAATCCATTCCCTCAGTTTGTTACATGTGATAATACCAATAATGACGGCAAAATAATCCTGCTTGCATAATGTTTCTTTTACAAGGTATTTTTATCTCTTATTTAATTAAAAAAAGGAGAGGGGCTGCTGAGATAACTCGGCAGTCACGAGCACCCCAATGTCAAACCCGACACCCTGAGTTCAATTCCTAGAACCCACATGGTAGAATAAAAACTACTCAAGTTGTTCTCTCATGTTCACGAGCATACTGTTGTATCCAGGCATGATCACACCCATGTATGTACAATACACGAAACAAAACCAATAAAAAAAATCAGAAAAACAAAAAACACATGAAGCCAGTAACTCACTCCTCATGCCTTACCACTGACTTCATTCCAGGACTGAAAACTGCTTGTGTCCTTCAACTCCTATCATACGTGCAGACTCTCTCACACTCACTCTCTTATTACTCTCTTGGTCAGTGGTTCCAAATTCTCCAGGGCACACCCAGTTATCTCAGAGAGAGCTAGCTGCCTTTAAGAAAACAGGCTGTGAAGTCAGACTGACTAACTTCAAACTTACTGCTCCACGACTAAACATTGGGCAATTGCTTAACTGAAGCCCCAAGTTCCTCTTTGAAAATCAGGGAAAATACACTCAACACATCAGGCTTCATGCTGCATTGTACAGTGGCTGGCACACTCTCTTACAGAATATAAGCACTGGAACTTATACCCAGTTTATTATTTTTTTATTTTTGGGGGGGTTTCGGAGACAGGGTTTCTCTGTATTGTTTTGGAGGCTGTTCTGGAACTCGCTTTGTAGACCAGGCTGGCCTCAAACTCACATCTTGCCTGCCTCAGCCTCCGAGTGCTGGGATTAAAGGTGTGGGCCACCAACACCTGGCTATATACCCAGCTTATTATTGAAGTTTCCCCTAAAATCGTCTTTAAGCAGAACACCTATCTCTAAGGAGTTCAAAGGATAAACACAAAAAATATACAGTAAACCTTGCAGTAAGATGAATCTCATTCAAATAGTGGATCCAGAAAACTCTGTAGAACTGATCACCGGGTGTGTGTGTGTACGGGTGTTTAACCTACATCTATGTCTGTACCCAGAGAGGCCAGAAGAGGGCATCAAATAGGATCCCCTGGGCCTTCAGTTACAGATGGTTATGAGCTACCATGAGAAGTTGGAAATTGAACCTGGCTCCTCTACAAGAGCAGCCAGTGCTCTTAATCACCGAGAATAATGGCCACTTTGGAGGTTAGCTTCAAAGTAGATGCAGAGGCCTTTCAAATGCACTATTTGTTTCATAACTTTCACCTGAGTAGAGGCTGTGAGGAAGTCCCACGTTCCCCTCTGTCATTGGGTACAACCATTTACAGTTTCATCTGCTTCCCGGTTCCATCCCTTTAGAAGCCAGGTGTGGACATTAACTTCAACCCCATGCCAGCAGAGTAGGTACACCCTCAGGGTCTTATGTGACGTTAGCCTGCTTTGACTCACACGGAGAATTTTCAAAACCCAGGCTGCCATCTATGCTAAATAAATCAAGTTTTCCTAGGGCAAGACTGGGTATCAGTCTTTTTAAAACTCTCCTATACTGCCGAGCGGCGGTGGCACACGCCTTTAATCCCAAGCACTCGGGAGGGAGGCAGGCAGATCTGAGTTCGAGGCCATCCTGGTCTGCAGAGTTCCAGGACAGCCTCCAAAACAATACTGAGAAACCCTGTCTCGAGAAAAATAAATAAATAAATAAAAACTCTCCTATAATTTAGGCCTGCTGCCAAGTGGAGAGCCAAACTTCTAGGACTGACCCCAAATACACTGATTTTCAAACAACACTTGAGACTGGATTTGTAGCACCATGGTGGAGCAGCTTCCTTCCAGGCAGGAGGTCGGAACTGAGGTGGGGACGGGGACGGAAGTGGAGAGGGAAGAAAATGGGAGGGGGAGAAGGGGGAAAGGGAGAGCGGGGGAGGGGAGGAGGGAAGGAGAGAAGACGGGACGGAGGAAGGGAAGTGGGCTAGAAAGAGGAAACAGTACTCAGCAGCAAACGACGGTGGAAGAAGGCAGAAGAATCAGGTGTACCTAGAAGAGCGCGGGGATGGGGGGGAGTTCATGTCCAGGACAATTACTTCTAAGTCTTATGATGGAAACCAGATGTGGGGCAAGACAATCCACGGACTAGCAAAATGCAAAAGGGTTTACTCGACCATTTCCCTTCTTTATTGTATATTCGACCAGTGGACATGCTCATGAAAATGATCTGTAATAGCTGAAAACCTTCTATAAATGTCTGGCCTCAGTTCCCAGTGGGCCAGTCCCTCAACTGCTTGAGCGGTTAAAGATGATTTAAACGGGAGCTACCTCTTCAGACCCAGGAACTTGCACTGAAAAGCAAGTTACATGGACCGCTAGCAACACAGAAAGTATAAGCAGGTGAGCTAAGACGGCAAACCCAATCTTGACTTTAGGCAATGTTTTTCCACATAAATCCTTCTGTTGATATGCCTTAAGCACGCAACCCAACACCCTCGGAAAAAAAAAAACGTTTTGTTTTGATAAAGACCCTGGTGTAACAAGACGCACGTATAATTCCCTTATCTGAGCTTGATGGAGTGGACTGGATGTGGTGAATTTTTACCATCTGCTCTAAAAAACATCCTCAAAGCCAGCACCTGCCAGGAGGAAAGGTGATCCGAGGGCCTCGCCGTGGCCTCTAGTGAAGGGAGTTGGCCCCGGGAATGTGCACTCATAAAGCCACAGTAGCAGAAGCCAAGCCCCAGCATCCCCCGCACGAACCCACGCGCTCTATTAGCCCACTTGGTAGGAAAAACCCGACCCTGTCCCAGTACCAGCTCCCGGGATCAAACTGGGTTATACTGGGACCAGAGTCACCCGTAGACCCGGCGGACCTGGAGCCGCCCCTGCTCCCACGTTTCCTCCTAGGGTAGCCCGCGCCCAGCCAATGAGAAGCCACCTCCGCTCTGCTCCGCAGCCGCCTGCGCCCGCATCCCCGCGGCCCCCACGCGTGCGGCAAAGGATGTCCTCGAGCTGGAGGTTCGCGGCCGCTGCGCCCATACCCGTGCGCCTAGAGCCCACCCCAGTGCCTCCCCGCTACCCCAGGCACCTGTGGGATCGCCTTCTGCCGGATCCGGGCGCATCGCCGCCAAAAGGCACAGAAGCAGGAGCGCCCTCAGGCCAGTGAGTGAGCGCATGGCGCTGGCGAGTCGGTCCTGGAGGTCGCTGCTTCGCCCTTGGTTTGCTGTGATCCGTCTCCGATCTGTCCCTGCGCGCACTTGCTGGTAACCGGGCGCCCACTGCCAGTCCCGGGGCCAGGACACGCGAGAAAAAGCGGAGTGGGAGGGGCACGACCGCCCTGGCCTCCTCCCACCAGACGCTCCCAGCGCACCCAAGGCCGGCCCAGCCTTGCGCCTGCCCTTCATCAATTATGCAGCCCGCAGCCCGCTGCAGGCGCGCCCGGATGTGCGGTGCCACCCCGGCGCTGCATCCTCTCCCGCCCCCACCCACCCTCTCGACTTGCCCAGGTTGGGGAGGCAGCAAGCTAATCGAGCCAACCAGGTGATGTCAAGCCCATCACCTCCGGGACATGTTCCAACTCTCTACAGCCTGTTCTTTGCATCAGTTGGGTGGGTTCGCTTATCGACTTTGATGAGACGGGTGAAAATGACAGGCTACTTCTGCTCCTGTACATCTTTAGATTTATTTTTGCCAGACCAGAGGCGCTATCCAGTGTCCCTGAGCCCAGAACTTAATGTTCCTCGGAGCTTCCTATCACTCATGCACACCCTCCCCCAGTCTCTGAAGGTTTAGCTAGTTCCCTCCGGATTAAGGTTTCAGAGTCCCGAGGCCCCATAGTGTGTCTCCTTTTGTTTGCTTGCCTCAACAGTTTTCCTGGCGCCAAAGAGCTCAAGAAACAAAGACTAAGTAAAGGGGGTACTATGTAAACTGCAGAAGGCCATTCGCTTTGTCAAACATTGTGGAAAACAATGTTATCTCTTATCTATGAGAGACCTGAGGTTGGAATTTTCTTAATTCTCCTACCAAATAAATTAAGATAATTGAAAACGATTGTTTTGCTGGTCAGGGGAGTAGGCTCCCATAGCCTAACGCAGCAGCCTTACTTAGCAGTCCTTACTGTAGGGACCTCCTCTCGGGGACCATCTCAAACAGGAAGGAATTTCAGAATGAGTCGGTGTGAAGCACAGCTGGAGTTAATTACAAAGGAGTTTTGCTCAAGGTAGATTTAAATATGAGGGTTAACACAAAGAATAAAACGCACCCGACCCCGCGGGGGCGGGAGGGGGGGTCAGAGCTGTGTCTTGACATTAACCATTCGTACCATTTTGGTTGTTATCAAGTTACAGCTCAAAGGACTGCTAAAGAAACACTTTTTTTTTCTTTTATCCCGCTTTTTTTTTTTTTTTTTTGGTTAGGCGAAATTATAGGGTGGCTCCAATGGTGCCTTAGGTGGAATTACGATCTGATAAGATTAAAACACAGGAGGCAAGCAGACTACTGGATAGTTAAATCACTTCTTTTTGCTGTAAATAGGGTTTCATGTGAAATTGCTGGAAAACATCAGGCTTACCATGGGAAATGAGAAAGGCAATATACACTGAGGCGTTAAGGGTGATGCATGGCTATTTTCACATTTTTATTAGAGGTGTGTGAAGGGCCCTAGCCTAATTAACATGTCCAATCAGATATATCACTGCATCCTAGCCCATTCTAACACAGACCTCCCCTTTTTCTCTCGAATGGCCTGCAAACCCGAGTTGGTGGCACACACCTTTAATCCCAGCAGTTGATAGGTGGAGGCAGACGGAGCTCTCTGAGTTCAAGGTCAGCTTGGTCTACAGAGTGAGTGCCAGAATAGGCTCCAAAAGCTCCACAGAGAAACCCTGTCTCGAAAAAAAAAAGGGGGGGGGCGTTGGTGGGCACGCCTTTAATCCCAGCACTCGAGAGGCAGGAGGAGGCAGATCTCTGTGAGTTTGAGACCAACAAGAGCGAGCTCCAAGACAGCCTCCAAAGCCACAGAGACACCCTGTCTGGGAAAAAGGAAAAAAGAAAAAGAAAAAGAATGACACCTGCTGCAAGGTCATTTGTTGCTGTTTTTCTGCCTGAGTCAGAAAGCAGTCACTTTAACTGACTCCCCCTCCCCCCACCCCCACCCCACCCCCAATAAAAGATCTCTGTGAAAACAGGTGTTTGGGTGCTGTTTATGCCTAATCCGGGGCCAGGGGTTGGGGAGCCCACACTGTGTAGGGGGTTTTCCTCTGTATATATGAAAACAATATTTTCTCTGTGTTAGCAGTCTTCACAGCACATGTTAATTGTGATGAATTCTTGACTCCTAACTGAGGTAAGGTTTTATCAGATTCCAAATGAATGGCTTTCCTTTCCTTCCCTTGTCTGGGTAATTTTTTTTGTTGTTTGTTTGTTTGTTTTTTGTTGTTTCTGTTTTTGGAGACAGGGTTTCTCTGTAGCTTTGGGAGGCTGTCCTGGAACTCGCTCTGTAGACCAGGCTGGCCTGCAACTCACAGAAATCCACCAGCCTCTGCCTCCTGAGTGCTGGGATTAAAGGCGTGCGCCACCAACGCCCCGCTTGACTGTGTAATTTTCTCTGTCTTCCTACCTTAGCTCCCTAAGACTTGTGGGATATTATGACAGGAAAGAAGTTGGTTTTGGAGTTTTTGTTGTTTTTTAGGCATCACCTAGCTGTGTGGATGAGGCTTTCCTCCAATCCCTGAGCTCAAGCAGTCCCTCAACCTCAGCCTCTTACCACAGGGCAACCACCACAGCAAGCAAACGCACCTGAGCATGCGTGTGTAAAATACTTCTCAGGAACTGGGTTCCTTCCCTCTTTGCTCCTTTTTGAAAATGTTTATTTCGTGCATGGGTGTCTTGCCTGCATGTATGTCTGCACTACGTGTGTTCCCAGTGTCTGTGGAGGCCAGAGGAGGGCAGCGGATCCCCTGAAACTGGAGTTACAGAGGCTGTAAGCATCGTGTGAATGCTGAGGACTCCATACTAGTCCTGCGGAAGAGCAGCCAGTGATCTTAACTGCTGAGCCATCTCTGCAGTACCTTGTCCCTTACCCTTTTTTTTTTTTTTTGGTTTTTCAAGACAGGGTTTCTCTGTATTGTTTTGGAGGCTGTCCTGGAACTCACTCTGTAGACCAGGCTGGCCACGAACTCACAGAGATCCGCCTGCCTCTGCCTCCTGAGTGCTGGGATTAAAGGTGTGCGCCACCAATGACCGGCTGCCCCTCACTCTTTAAAAAAAAATCTAGGCTTGATAATCATAAATTCAAAGCAGATTTTTAAAAAAGAAAATTCCTCAAAAAGGACACTTTTTTTTCATTTAAATTAGAAACAAGCTTGCTTCACATGTCAATCCCAGCTCCCTCTCCCTCCCCTCCCCCCCACATCCCTCCATGGGGCCCTCCATGGGGGATCTCCAGAGTCAGACAAACACTTTTTGCAGAAAGACACTGATCATATAGACTGAACTACTGAACAAGAGACTATACTTACTCCAGGGAGCCACCATTAATTTTTAATTGGTACATGCATATAAAATATCCATGTTCCTGAGTTAATATTACTTAAAAAAAACTTTAGGAAAGAATATGACTTCTGGCTGGGCTGTGGTGGAGCACTTGGATGGTAGAGGCAGGCAGATCTCTGTGAGTTCGAGGCCAATCTGGTCTACAGAGTGAGTTCCAGGAAAACCTCCAAAGCAATAGAGAGAAACCCTGTCTCAAAAAACAAAAACAGAGTGAGTTCCAGGACAGCCAGGGCTACACAGAGAAACCCTATCTCAAAAAACCCAACGGATAGATGATAGATAGATAGATAGATAGATAGATAGATAGATAGATAGATAGATAGATACATACATACATACATACATACATACATACATACATAGATGATAGATAGATGACAGGGAGAGAGAGAGAGCTTCTGTAAATTGTTGTTAAAGAACATGAATGAGCCTGGTGTTGGTGGCGCACGCCTTTAATCCCAGCACTCGGGAGACAGAGGCAGACAGATCTCTGTGAGTTCGAGGCCAGCCTGATCTACAGAGCGAGTACCAGGCACTGTGTTTAAAAGGAACTTCGCATAAAGTAACACACAGTAGCACACATAAACACACACACCAAGTAACTGACTTATATAGCCATTTGCCTGTGAACTACAAACCCCTGGACTCTTTTGAATGAGTCAAAACCTAGGCCCTGGTGGCCCCATAGAGGTAGGCCCAGCCTCTGGCCCTCAAAATGTCATTTAAAGAGATAAAGGATACTCTGGGAAGAGGAACAAAGAGGTACAGAGAGGCACCCATGTCCGTTTTAGATTCTGACTCAGATTTGGGGTTAAATAGAAGGCAGGAGGTATGGAGAATTAAGCAGTCCCTTTAAGATGCTCCCCCAATCCTGTTGTCTTGCTTCAGAGTTTCAGTTTCTCCTGCAAGGTGGTCTGACAAGTTGTCAAAACTGAGTAAAATCTCTTTCCAGGACACAGGTTTCTTCTCCTAGCATAAGGATCCCAGGAAAATTTCAGTTACTATGTGACCATTATTCCCGTAGTCTGTTAGCCCAAGGGTGCGACATGAGGGTATTCGTTCTTTCCTGCAGGGCAATTATATTTGCAGTCAGAAAAAAATGTATGTTTATAATGATTAAGCCACTCTCATCAAAGTCTTATAGGACCCGGAGGCCTGCACCCTACACACTGTGACCTTCCCAGGACCTGGGGTGGGCTAGCTAAACCCAAATTTCCTGAGCGATGACTGCCATTTCACACCAGTCAGCTGGCCAGCAGTGCTTAACTGCTGCTACTTCCCTGCACCTGGGGAGCGTTTAATTGCAAGCCCTTCTCAGGCCTGACCTCGGCTGACCTCTCTCAATCAGTCTTACAAAACTGATCTCAAATTCACCCTCCCTCGGATGAGCTGACCCTAGCTGAGGAAACATTTTTGTTTCAGTTGAATCTGTCCCTTTATCAACAGGCAGCAGTGACTTGCAGAAACCCAAGGTTAATTCCTGTGGTCCTTTTTGTCATTCCAGCAAAAGAAGTTGAGAAACATAATTCTTGTTTCAAGAAACAGAGACTCATTTCACCTTTGGTAGACTTTTGCATTTACGTACACTCTGTATGGTTTCGGCCCTGTCTCCATTACACGTTTTCACAGGCTTAGCATCTTTTATAGCCAGATAGTGGGCTAATTTACCTGTTTAGCTTTCCTGGCCTTTCTATTTAGAATCGTCCTTTCCCTGCCTAATGAATGAAATGTGGCCACAAATGCTTCAGCGCTCTCTTGGTGTGCTGAGTAGAGAGCACAGAGGTCCTGTCTGCTCTCTTGACATGAAGCACTGAACGTTGTCA